TTTAAGGTTGTACAGGTACTAGAGCAAAATGAGGCTTCAAACCCAGGTCTGATGACCCCAGATCTACTTTTTTAATCATACCACACATTTGTTGACTTTATGTATTCTGGAATCTGTCAGTCAGTCAGTAACATTGATTAAGAGCCAGGTGTGTATGAGGTGTTCAGGGGGACTAGCACCTCTGGTGTGAGGGCTTACTAAGTCCTTCTCAGGGCTGTTAATCCACCTTTGGTGTCCTCCTTAACCCAGCTTTCACCTGTGGCTTCAAGAAACTGTTGTGAGTAAGAGAAGAAAAATAAATAAAAAATAAAACTTATTAAAACAAGCCAGAAAAATAATAATCTGGGTTTGAGTCCTTGGATGAGACCCTTGACCTCTTGGGCCTCCACTTTTCTCATCTGTAAATGAGGGGGTTGGACCAGAGGACCCCTAAGGTCCACTTCCCACTCTGAATTTACAATTCTGTAACCCAGTGCCTAGCATCAACCTTCAGAAAACCCTAAGGTATTACTGAGCCCTATTACCTACCTCAAATGTCTTTGTGATCAAAATGGGCCTTCAAGCAGTCCCAAACATAAGCCTTCTGTTGCCAGAGTTTTCCTTTCCACCTGGGACCACCCAAATTCAGCTGCAATCTTCCCTGTGTTTTTTCTCCCCCGGAGCAGTTTTTCTACCATCACACAGACTCAGTGAGCCGATGAGGGTACCCAAACTGGCTTCCTTTGCTGTGTAGAAACATTGAGTTTTAAGCTACATCCGAGGTCACAGGATCGTAGATTTTGAGCTTCAAAGGAATTTGGAGGCCAAATAGCCCAACCCTCCTTATTTCAAAGATAAGAAACTTTGAGGCCTCCTATGATCAAGTGACTTGCCCAAGGTCACACAGAAAATAACTGGCAAGGCCAGGATTCTAAACCCCATCTTCAAACTCCAAACCATTTCTCTTTATTCTTCCAGACTGAACATGACAATGTAATTTCTTTAACCTACATATGCTTCTACTCCCATGAGCCTGCTCCCTTGGTCTTCAAAGCATGCCCCACTTCTTTGTCTTTCTCCCTCCCCCCTTTCCCTTTCTTTTTGGCTTCTGTGATTACCAGTGAAGCAAGGTCCTTTCCAGTTTAGTTTACAGGTGCAAACCACCTGTGGTCTCTACCCTGGCTCTAGGTCTGACCTGTGGTTCTTGATTTACCCTGAATCAGTACTGTCCTCCCTCCTTTGGTATTTTACCCAGTGAACATCCTTGAGTTATCCTTCCCTTTTGGGTTCAGAGCCTAGGAAATTAATTGCCTGGGAGGCCTCTGTACTCTGACTTCTTTTTCCTCATTTCTTCTCTCTGCGTAGTATTGTGATCATCTCTGGGTTTCGAGATATTTCCAGGTGAATTGTCTTTGACCAAGTGATGTGTAATGGTTTTTTGCATTAAATCATTCTGATATCTGTTTTAGTTTCTACCTGTATTTCCATTTTGTTTTTCCCTCTTTTTATCATTCCTCCTTCCATCCATCCTTGGTTTCTACTAATCAATTTATTAAGTGGCAATACAAAGACAAAAATGAGGCAGTCCTTGTACTCTAGGACCTTTCATTCTATTTAGAGAAACATCTAGGTAAACATAAAAACGTACACACACAGTCAGTACAAGGTAATGAGGCTGGGCTGGGCTGGCCCACTGAAACTTGGGGGTAGATTCAGGGAAAGAGTCCTGTGGAATTGTGGTAGCACTTGAGCTGTACTTTTAAGGGAATCAGAGATTCCAACAGGCAGAGGGGAGGAGAAAGCATGACGGGAAGTATAAGGGCATATAAGTATGTAAGAAGTATAAGGGGACAGTTTGTGCATGATGGGATGTTGTATTTGAGCGACAATTTGGCCGGAATAAAGGGTGGATAACAGGGAGTTACACATTATAAGCCTGGAGATGTAAGCCGAAGCCAGATTGTGAAGTGTTTGGAGCACCCCCTTTCATCTTAAAGGCAGTATGAAGCTGCTGGAGGTTTTTTTCAGAGGGCAAGAGACAGAGCTGGGCTTTGATTTAGGAATATCACTCTGGCAGCTGTTTGGAGGATGGATCAAACAGAGGGGAGACTTGGGTCAGGGAGACTAATCATCACTAAGAGGCGATGAGGGCCTCAACAAGAGCATTGAGGACGGTGACTGTGCAGAGCTCAAAGGGGCTTGGAAGTAGAAATAATGAGATTTAGCAGCTGATGGGACACGTGCAGTGAGGAACAGGGAAGACTGAGGATGGCTCTGAGGTTGTGAACATGAGTGATTAGAAGAATGGCCACACCCTTAACAGAAATAGTGACATTTGGAAGAGGGGTGAATCTGGGGGAAAGATACAAGAATTCTTTTGTGGACATAGTGGGAATGGATGTCCTTGGGATATCTGGTTTGAAATGTACAGTTGGCGGTTAGTAATACTGGACCAGAATTCAGGAGAGTTCTCATATATTTTAGGGCTAAATATATAGATCTGAGGGACATAAAGATGATCAGTCTGTCCCTGAGAGCTAATGAGATGATTAAGAGAATGTTGAGAGGAAAGAAGAGGGCTCTAGAAGGAGTATTGGGGTATGCCCACTGGTAGAGGGAGGGACACGTATGATGATGAAAGGAATCCAAGAAGAAGTGGCCGGCCAGCGAGGAAGAGAGCCGAGAGAAAGCAGCTCTCTTCGCTGAAAACCCAGGGAATAGAGATTGTCCAGGAGGAAGTGGTAGCCAGTAATAGTGTTGCTGGATTTGGCGATTGAGAGGCATCAGAAGTTCCCGCCTCTCCATTGCCCTCTTGCCTCTTTACGGATTCTGACAACATTCCTCTATGCCCCTCTTTCATGTCTGATAAGTTCATGCACTGTGAAACAGGTATAGTATACTTGAGTATGTAATAACTTGGGAGTTAGCAGAATGATGGAGCATCAGGTGATCAAGACTTGGGAACCTCTCTAAATTTTTCAGCATCTTCTTTTCTGTCTTGTACACAAAATTGGGTCTTCTGCTAAGTTTGATCACAAATGTTACTGGTGTGCAGTTTATAGCGGTGGGTCAAAAAGTTTAGATTTTTAAATAATTTTTCCATCTCTTTTCTTGGCTATTGGCGAATGCCCTGATTTTATGTTTGTTTTTTCATCAACAAGTATTTATGAAGCTCTGGAGAAGCTGTACCGTAGAGGATAACATTGAGATGTCATGATGGTTGAGGAATCTAGAGCATATTTGAAGGAGATAGAATGTCCATAATAATCATAATGATGATGATATTTTACTGATTTTGTCCGTAATGAGAATACTGTGGAATAGGAGACAATTGCATTTTACGGATATGTTCATGAAATAAGCAGGGAATGGCACAGGACGCTTTACAGTTGATGCCATGAGAACTCTTCAGAGATGCTTATCCTTTTCTCACTATTCTTGCCTACCATATTTACATTCCCTTTTCTTCCCCAAACATATTTGAAGCATGGAGAAAGCCACGAATGGGATGGTGTGGTTGGGTGACTGGACTGAAGACTTAAAAAACTATTGAAGACTTGGGAAATGGAGGAAATGGGCTTCACACAAGCTTCTGTGAAGAGTTGGCCAAATGCTAACATAGTGGCTATGACCAGTCAAACTGTTGAAATTATTCCATCCTCTCCAAAGCTGCTGTTCGGATATTTTTGAGAGTAGAGAAGGTTGGGGAGCCATTGAGAGAGACTTACTTGAAGGTAAATTTTGTTTGAAAATAAATTCAAATCTGTTGAGCTTTGGAAACCTGAGCTGCAGTGGGTTATGCTGACCAGGTGTCCACACTAAGTGTGACATTAATATGGTAAGTATCTGGGAGTGGAGGACCACCAGGGTGCTTAAGGAAGGGTGAACCTATTTATACTTCTAGCTTGGAGAAAGAAGAAAGGAAGGAAAAAGGGAAGAAAGAAGAATGGAAAGAAAAAAGGAAGGAAGGAAGAAATGAAAGGAAGGAAGATTTTGGAAAATTATTGTGAAGCAATGGCATATTTGGTAGATGTTACAAAGATGAAATTGACAGAATTTCGCAAAAGATTGGAAGACTGGGTATGGGGGTGTGGGTCAGAGAGGGGAGAGGGAGTGGGGAAAGGATTCTAGGATGATGCTTAAGTTGTAAAGCCTAGGAAGATGGTGGTACCATTACAAAGTTAGGAAGAGAGGAGGGTTTAGATGGAAAGATAATGAGTTTGGTTTTGGACATGTCAAATTTAAAATCTCTATGAGATATAGTCTTCGAGAGCTGTCTATAGTACTAACAGGTTGTGACTTGTGTAGGGTCCCACAGCCAGCATATGTCAGAAGAAGGACTTGGCTTCTAAGAAAACAGGAGGAAATTTAAATGCCTTATCAAACCACCCAAGTTTCAGTATCATTTTCAGCTTTAAGTTGTAGTGAAGTCCTGGCAGACACAGACCCAGAATGGTTTCAGTTTGGGAGTCGGGGAGGGAGCCACATTCTTCTATTTTTACTCTCCATGTGCTGCTTTCAGAACTCCCTGATGGGCACACATGCAGCAGTCATCAGTGCTTTGAAAACAAATAGATAACCCATCCCTCCCATTGGCAGACTGATACAGCTTTCAGTCCTGAGCAAAGCAAACTGACTTCATGTGACTACAGGGAGAGGACAAACTGGATCAGGATGAAAGCTTAGTGATTGACTGGAGCAGACTTCTCCTTTTTTATCTCTGCCGAAGGATCCACATCAATCCTTGTAACCCAGCCAGCTTCTCTGCCCTCCCCCTTTCTGCCCCCCTCTCCCAGCTTGGTCTGGGTGTTTCCATTTCAGCATGTTGTGATTCATCTAGCATTAAAAGAAAAACAGAAAGGTGGGAAATGTTGTTCTTTGGACAGCCCAGCACAAAAGGCATCCTAGGGAACAAAGGCTGCAAACTGAGAATAATTGACATGCCTCGGAATAATGAGAGGACAGAATGTGTCTAATCAGCAGCAGTACAAACACTCACAAAGGGTTTCCTTTCCTCCTAGCGCTTCCTTTGCTGGGCATCTGGCTGGGATTATCGTCGGACTGGTGTACACTCTGGGGCCTCTGAAGAGGATCATGGAAGCATGTGCAGGTACCCAGCAAACATCTTTGGCAGGGCAGGACAGGAGGCTGAAAGCCCATTTTAAAGGGGGCACAAGCAGACCCACGTTTCTCATTGTACCAGAGCTTCCCTACCTGCCCAGTGGTTTTACAGCTAAAAAGAAATTCCCCAGCCCAGACCCTGCAAGCTCAAAAATAAAAAACAGCTGCTGCTGGTTAATATTCCTTAAGCCACATGGAAGATGCAACGTTTCAAGTCTCATGCTTTCCAGGTAGAGAGATGAAAATGTAAATTCTGGAAAATGGCAGGTACTGAGGGTCTTTAAAACAGCCCATTTAAAGGGCTACTCTAAGAATGGGGACTGGACCGGATTTCATTGGTATAAGGCACTCCTGGGTTAGGAAATTCCTCCCCCTGTCAGTTCAGGTCAGCACCTTTGCTCCAACTTAATCATCTTAACAAATTACATAAAGATGAAAGGAAGGGGAAAATCCAGCATTTATTAAGTGCCTTCTGTGTGCCAAGCACTCTACTGTGCAGAAACTACTGCACAGAAACTAGAAACTAGAATTTATTAAGTACCTACTATGTGCCAGGCACTCTGCTTTGCACTTTATAAATTGAGGAAACTGTGGAAAATGGAGGTTAAATGACTTGCTCTGGGTCACACAGCTAAAAAGTGCCTGAGATCAGGTTTAAATTTAGATCATCCTGACCCCAGGACCAGTGTGATTCAAAGGCAGAATTCAAACGCAGGTCTCTCGGCTTCAAGGCCAAAACTCTAGCCCTTAGACCATACTGCCTCTCTTTAATATTATACAAATTGTCCACATGCATGCCTGTCCCAAAATGGGATGGAAAGCAACTCCCTGGTATTTAGGATTCCTGCAGGATAGAGATTTGCACAGGCTAAGAAAAAACAAACCTAGAAGTTGTTTTTACCTATAATTATTATCATTTTTATTTTCAATGAATCCCTCTCCCATTTTGGAAAGTGTGAAATTTTCTTCTCCGCTTTCAGTCTAGAATATATATTAATTGCATTTATAACATTTAAAGAAACTATTATGTTAAAAAGTTGACTTACAGGAAATATGAAAGGTCTCACATTTCATCTTTTTTAGAATATTTTACCTTTTCTTGATCCATAAATAACTAGCTTTCATAGGTTTTATTAATGATCATTTACAAAAGGTATTCATAATATCAGAAAGTTTTCAAACCATCTATTGTCTCTTTTAATGTTGGGTTGGTTTCCCTTTGCTTGGAGGCCTTACAGCCCCCCATGATATATCCAGGGGTCCAGGGGTTCACTTGTTGCAGTATTGAAACAACCATATTTGAAGGAAGGTCAAGTGAATGTTGTTCGATGAAAGTGCCATCCATCTTTACTTTCTTTGAGAGGAGATGTGGTTATGGAAGTCTCTTAACAAGTTTTATTTTCTGAAAGCTCAGTACTTTGACTGCAGAAGAGATCTCATTCCCAGTAGCATATGCTTTGTTTTAATGTGGGTTTTTGTGGCTAAGGGATTTATGTGCAAGGATGATAAATCTAGGTAAGTTTTTCTTTTCAAATACTCAAGACTTTTAAAAGATTTTTAATGTTTAGATTTTTTTTATAAGTTTTCAGATTTTCTCTGTAGTCCAATTTATGTATTCATCCTGGGATTATAGTTTTAAAAGATGAAAGGAATCACAGAAACCATCTTATCCAACTTCATTTTATAGATTAAGACTCTGAAGCATAGAGAGGTTACACATGTATTAAGTAGCAAAGCTGGGACCCATAAATTCCAAAAAAAAAAACATTAGGTGTTAGTAATGGAACCAAAAATTCCTTTCTCTTCAGTTGATGGGTCTGCACACACTTTGGAGGAAAGCAGTGGACCAGTTGTCAGAAGATCTAGGTTTGAATCACAGCTCTGATGTTTAATATGTCTATGACTATGGATAAGTCACATATCTAGGCCTCAATTTTCCTGATCTGGCCTTCTCATCTTATTAATAAGGAAACCTGAGCAATCTGGAGAGATTGGTTAAGTGACTTGCCCAAAGACATGCTAGGAGTGTCACGGGTGGAATATGAATTCGCCTCTTTTGGCAAAGCCAGCGGACTTTCTCTTGTACCATTTATTCTTTGTAGAATGAGGGGATTGGAATAGATGATCTCTAAGGGTGTTTCCATTCCTAAGATGTATAGAGCATTTATTAAGCACTCACTGTGTGCTAGGGCACTGTGCGTAACTGGGAAAACAAGTATGAGCTAAAATAACGACAATCCTTATGCTGAAGGAATTTGCATTCTAATCCGGGAAGATAACTCAAAAGAGTTGTATTGGGAAGGTACCCTTTTGGGGGCAAGGTGGAGCACTAGTCCAAATGAGTTCAATGAGAGAATGAAATGAGTTAACAGTTGTAAAGCACTTTTTGTTGTTGTTCAGTCATTTTTCAGACTCTTTGTGACCCCATTTGGGATTTTCTTGGCAAAGATACTGGGGTGGTTTGCCATTTCCTTCTCCAGCTCATTTTGCGGATGAGAAAAGTGAGGCAAACAGGAGTTAAGTGACTTGCTCAGAGTCACTTAGCTAGTAAGTGTCTGAGTCCAGATTTGAACTCAGGTCTTCCTTACTTTATGCTTAGCATTCTACCCACTGGATAATGTAAGTGTCCGCTATTCATCCTCCAACAAGCTGGCAGTTTTTTTGGGGGGAGGGAGCAATGGAGAAATTTAAAAATGATTATGGCTGCTGAGATGTTATTTTGGCGTCAGCTGCAAAAGGAATAGATGATTCCTTTTAGATATGAAAAACGAGGACTCCGATCTTGCCCTGCTCATTTCTGTTGATGAAGTTGACCTCTGGGTGGACTTCCTGGAACAAGTAGTGTGTGCTTAACTGGAACTGTAATAGCGGAGATGACCCTGCTGCAGATAAGACCTATCACCAAAAGGTGATATCTGAACTTCCTCTCTGCACGTCTCGAGTTCCATGTCCCTGCCCCCAGTGAAAGTCAAGGTAGAACCAGAAGCAGTGATCCTCTTCAAGAGGAAGAGATGGTGACCATAGTGGACCTCCTGGAACTACTGGACATGTCTGATAAGACCCTGTGTGGTGTCATGTCTCAGGATTATAGGTTCTTCCCCAGAAGCCTCTTCTCATGCAGTACAGCCTCTTCTCCAATTGGCGAGTTTCTCCCTGGCCCTCCCTTTGAGGAAGCACTCATTCCAGCCAGGCTTATTTCCACCCAGACCAGCCCATGCCTGGACTAATAACTACAACAGCTAGCATTCATATAGCATTTTAAGGCTTGCAAAGTGCTTTAATTGTTTTTTAAGCATTTATTAAACACCTGGCACAGTACAAATTTTTTTAAAGCACTTATTAAGCACCTAGCATAGTGCACATTTTAAAAAAAGCATTTATTAAGTGCCTCCGTGCTTTACTAGCTACGTGGCGCTGGGCAGCTAGGTGACCCAGTGGGTAGAGTGTGGGTACTTCCCAGGTTTGTTGTGAGGATCAAATGAAATAATAATCATATAGTGCTTAGGCATGGTGCCTACATCGCACACAGTACATGCTTTATAGGTGTTAGTATTATTGTTGAGAATGAGAACTGGAATTTTCACCAATGAATATTCTGTCTTCTTCTGTCAATCTTTCTCTTTTTGTGGACATCATGAATAGAGTTTGATGTTTAAAAAAATATGTTTATTCCCTCTTCAGAAACACAGTGAATTTGTACTTAGAATATTTTCAAGTAATGCAGTCATGGGCCATAGGATAATAAGTCTGGAGATTAGAGGCACCTAAGAGACCATTGAGTACAGCCCTTTTGTTTTTGAGCTAAGGAAACTGGTTAAAAATTAAATGACATGACCAAGGTCACTTAGTGAGTTTTAAAGGTTGGAGAAGAAGAACAAAGTAGGGTCACGTATATGAAATCAGGAACTTCTGTCACCTACTGTGTTTTTTAAAGCATATATTAAATTGAACAAGGTAGTAAAAAAATTGCCCTGATTTGTTTGTATCCCTTTTTTTTTTTTTTTACTTTTTTTGTTTTCTTCTCTATATTTTAAATGTGAGTATAATTTATAAAGTACAAAAATACCTCATGCCCCTTTTTATTTTTCTTGTTTCAGGCATATTTTCCTTCAATACCCATTACCCAAGAGAGCAATATTACTTTAATGATGCAGGTAAGTACTTTATGAAAATGGCTTCAACAATGTTTTTTTAAAATTTCTTTTATATGATTTCATCCATGCGAGAATCTTTCTCCACCCAAGGAGATGAGTTAGGGTTAAGTGACTTGCCTTCGCTCACTTAGCCAGTGTCCGAGGTTAGACTCGAACCTAGATCTTCTTAACTCCAAATCCAGTGCTCTACTCACTACCCCGCGATACCTATTATTGCTTATTCCATTTATTAATGTAGCAATTTATTATTTTATTATTCTCAGGATTCTGATTTATTAACATGTTATTACTGAAACTGGTTATTCCATTTATTATAATTTACTATTATTTGTTGAGAAATAAAATAAAGTTTCCTCCTTTACAGTATTAGTACTAGGATGTCCCATTGTGGCATAGAGGTGTGACCCTGGTTTCTAAAACGCTCTGCCAGGGAACCTCAAGTTCTGGCTGATCCTATTAAGCTGGGGAGGCTGTGAATACCATCCCCCCATTGATGGACTCTGTGGCCGTGGGCTGAGGGTCCCCTTGCCTGCATACGGAGGAGGAGCTCATCACCAGCTTGGCCATAGGGTGTGGCTCTTTTTGGCCCCAACCACCCTTGAGGATGTCTAGCATTTCTCCTTGTTTTTGGAGGAGTGGATGCTCACACCAGTGAAATCAGAGATCTTTGAAGGGTTGACATAAGGAATGACTACTCCATTTTGCTGTTTTTCAATAGTGATGATGGTGATGATGATGATGATAATAAAAAGAATACTCTATTCTAAATGAGGGACTTGGAGCTCTTTCAGACACATGATAAAGTATTCCATTTTGTCCCTGAAGGGAAGGTAAAAGTAAGGTTATTACTCCCGTTTTAAGAAAGGAGGTAGACTAGAAAGGGGAGTTGGTAATAGGAGTGGTGAGTAGGAGTCTTAGGCATGAAAAAATGTGTAAGAGAAAGCCACAAGCATGGCGAAGTCCAGGCTAGATCATGGGATATCTCATTCCTAGCCCAGAGGCCTTTCCATGTAGCTCATATTGCTGAGTGTTAGGGGCTGTCTTCAATTAAACAAGGCGACCCTAGCACATTTTCTAAATATCATGACCAAACTGAGAGAGGGCCTCTGAAATGAAGTGACGTTAGATGGGGTGAACAGAATGCCCCTACTTTCCAGTAAATAGGTGGGGCAGAGTGCCTGGTTCAAATGCATAGGTCAACGGCTGTATGTACCACATTCCAGCTACTCCAGGGAGCACTGGGGTAATGGGAGCATTGCCAGGTGACATGTTAGAGAAGCAACAAGCAGTACTCGGCATGCACGCCAATTTAGAACAGCTATAGAGTTCAAAATACAGAGTTTTGGGCTTATTTTGAAGAGTGTGTCCAAAGGATTCACTCTTTAAAATAAGCCTGTATTTCGATCTGCAGTTCCAGATCTGCTGCCTTTTCTTTATTTGATCACAAAGTATTAAAGATCTTTTTTTAATCCATCAGTCAGTTACATCTATCAAGGGACCATTGAAGAGACAAAAGTAGGAATATGACACACATCCACAAGAAATTTATAATTTAATTGGTGACACAGGACCAACACACAACAGAGAAACACAATCCTGGGCAAATAACATGACTCTTTTGCCTCATGGATTGTAGATTGATGGAAATTGATTTACTCCAGGTATAGTTAGTGAGAAATAGGTGAGAAAGAAAGCAGCGTGGGCAGGGTGTGTGTGTAGCATGTGTGGAAGGAAGCATCATTTTCCCATGTTTTGAAAATTGAGAATATTTAACCTGAAGAAGAGAAGCCATTATAACTGTCTTCAAGTATTTTTGAAAGACAGCCACTTGAAAAAAAAGATGGAATAGGATGTGTTCTGCTTGGCCCCAGGTGACAGAATGAGAAGCAATGGGTAGAAATGACAAAGAAGCTTTTTAAAGCTTTTTTTTTTCCTTTACAGTTAATAAAAATTTATTTTCTTTTCCTCTCCATCCAGGTCTTCCCCCTCCTCAGGGTGATAGGTTGCTTCTTTGTTAACTAAATACCATTACCTTAACCTGGCAGAATTGAGAAAATAATAATATTCTTTAAAGAGTCAAGTCACAAGCTATCCACTCCCACATAAAAAAAATCCATAGTCGAGCATAACAAATTCCTGCACTGGCCATATCTAAAAACACATGTCACATTCTGTGTCTTGAATCCATCACCATTCTGTCAGGAGGTAGGTACTACAATTTATCATTAGACCTCTGGAATCGGGTTTGATCATTGCTTTGATCAAAGTTCTTAAGTCTTTCAAAGTTGTTTATTTTTACAGGTAGTATATGTTTTCTCCTAGGCCTGTTCCCTTCATTTGGCCTCAGTTTATACAATGCATCTTCCCAGATTTCTCTGAAGCTGCCTCTTATATCATTTCCAACAGCCCAGTAGAACATAATTTGTTTAGCTATTCTCCAACCGATGGCATGATGGAGAGAGCGATTATAATTATTAATTGTTCTCTCGTATGATTAACCTAGTCATCATAAGCAAATAAAAATATTTCAGCATATCAAAAAGAACAAAGTAGAGGAGAATGTAAAAACATGAACGATGAGTGCAGTCCCAGAGTGGAACAGGCTGCTTGGAAGGTAAAGCACTCTCCCCTCCTGAAGCTCTTAGGGCAATGGGTGGATGACCACTCGTGGGGCATGTGGGAAAGGGGGTCTCCCGTTCAGATGGTGTAGAGTAGATTACCACTGAGTCTCCTTCAACTCTGGTAATTGTCTGGTTTGCCTATTGAATTTTTCATTGATTTTAAAGCCCTGCTAATAGGGTTGTTTCAGTCTCTGTGAAGACTAGTGCGTGACCACTAGCCACACTCACAGTGATGATGTTAGAGACCATCTATTGGCTGGTTTACTGCAGCTGTTGATAGTGGCTTAGCTTTTTATGTACACTAATGCTTGTTATTCATTAAACCAAGAGCACAGGGCATTTTTTGGCAGTGGATGGGACAGAATATTTTATAAAACTGACAGTAACAAAAGCTTTTTTTTTTTTTTTAACACTTCTGTCGGTGTTAAATCAGAAACAGTGAGTGTGTTCACAGCTTATTTCTGGTTGTGACAGTCAGGGTGACTGCAGGCTTGCTTTCTTGTGTTTTCATTACCTCTGGTAACTAGGCACCATTAACTTAACCCAGCAGAATTAAGAAAAGAATAATTCTTTAAACAGCCAATTCACAAGATATCCCAATTGGTAATTGGAAAAGGGAAAAATGAAATTAGTTCTCACCACTATAACTTTGAGAAAATAATAATATAACCTACCATCTCTATTTGCCAGACAGCAAAAGATGCAGGAGAGAAAGCCATGGGGAGGGGTTGGGAATGGAAAGATAAATCTGGGATTCATCAATGTGAAGGTTATGATCAAGGGCATGGGAATGGATGAGATCACCCAGGCTGTCGATGGGGAGAATCATCCTTGAAAATATGTAGCAGCCCTAACCTCCCTTGAATCCTTCACTAACATTATAGTCAAAATGTTCTTGATTTCAAAAATCCAATTTCAAACCCAAACCTTTTCTGTGGCTATGTCCCATATTCAATTCAAGAAACATTTTATTAAGTATCTGTTATGTGTAAGGAACTGTGTGAGGCACTGGGGGTTACAAAGATAAAAATTGTATAGACCCTACCTTTACTGTGTTCATCTTCTATTGAGGAGAATGTCACGTACAAAAATAAAGTACAGCATGGGGAATGAAGGGACAAAGCGCTATAGAAATATTTGAAGAATGAAGGAATACTCTAAACCTGGAAAACCGAGGAAGGTGTCCCTTGGAAGAAGCCCTGAGCTAAGCTTTTGAAGGAAGAGAGGTATTCTGAAAGATAAAGATGAGAAGAGCATGTGTATTGCAGGCATGGAGATGACTTCAGTGAATGTATAGAAGCCAGAGGTGAGATGTTGGATTTGGGGGAGCATGTAATAGTCACATTTAGCTGTAATGTAATATAGGGAATAAAGTACTGTAGGTATCCTAGATTAAGAAATAGAAGGAACCTCAGGGATCATCTAGCCAGATTTTAGAGTACTTAACACAGTGCCTGGCATGTAGCAGACCCTTAATCAGTATTAGTTAATCGATTGATTGGAGGGCCTTTATTGAGTTTATATTTTAATACTAGAAGTGATAGAGAGCTATGGAAGATTTTGTTTTGTTTTGTTTTTAACCAGAGGATTGGTATAGTCAGATTTGGTGCCTAGGGAGATTACTTAGGAAGTCAGGTAGAGAATGGATTGGAGATGGGAGATGCTGGGAGACCAGTTTAGAAGCTAACACAAGAGTTCAGTCAAGAGGAGATGAAGCTGCCGACAGGTCTGGCAACAGTATGGACGGAGAAAAGGGATGGGCTGGAGCTAGATGCGATGGGTTGGCAGGCAGTACGTACAGCGGTGGGAGGAAATGAGAAGGATCACAGAATCCGATCTGGAAGGGATTGGGAGGCTGCTTGAGTCTAACATACACCTCTTACCCCTCCATTTTATAGATAAAGAAACTGAGGCACAGAGACATTAAGAGGACTAGGGTCACACAGAGCTAGTAAGTGACTAAGATCTTGCTTATACCGAGCCTAGCGCCATGTCAGCTTTTCCATGCTGCCTCTAAAAATTCAAGATGATGCCCTTTCAGATCTGGATGACTGGGAGGAAGATGGTGCCCTCAACAGAAATAGGGAAATTTGCAGGAGAGGCCAGTTTTGATGGGAAGATGATGAGTTACAATTTAGAAGGGATGAGTTTGAGGTGACACACCCATGCCCAGCAGGCAATTGGAAATTCAGGAATGTATTTCAGGAGAAAAATTAGGGCTAATGTAGAGATGTGGGCATGTTTAGCCTTAGAGACTATTCAAGGGGCACAGGAAGACACGGTAGCCATCTTCAAGTATTTGTGAGGAAGAGTAAGAGACTAGAATTGTTTTACTTGGCCCCAGTGGGAAGATCTAGTATCGATGGGTGGCACACTGTGATCTGGACATCAGGAGAAGCTTCCTGTCAATCAGAGCTGTCCTCAAAGTGGAAATGGCCACCTTGGGAGATGATGGCTTTCCCCTCCTTGTCGATCTTTAGGCAGAAGCCGATGACCACTTGTCAGGTGTGTTATGGTGGAGGTGCCTTTCTCATGGGTTGGACCAGAGAGATGGCTGCCAGGGTCCATTCCAGAGGTCAGATTCTGCGATTCTGAATCTTAGTAATAGTCATTTGAGAGTTGTATGGAAAATGGGTCTGGAGGAGGAAAGCAGGGAGACCAATTAGGAGGATATTGCAGATACATTTATAAGTGTGAATGGCATGGCGGGTAGAGAGCTAGCGTCAGATCCAGGAAGACATGGGTTCAAGTCCTGGCTGTGTAACTCTGGGTAAGTCACTGAACCTCTCAGTACTCTAGGCAACTCTCTAAGATGAGAAGTCTTGGGGAAGATGGCAACCAGCCTTAGTACAGGGAATGTCTTCACTCAAGAGTTAACTTGTCATGGAAATCACAAGCCCAGGCCCTATCCCTTAACAGCAGAATAGCAAATTGTCCCAGGATCATTTCCATCCAATCCACCAAGGACAGGACCTGGTCTTATCCTTATGCCTCTTGTGTCCCTACTGAGCTGTCTTTTCTATATCTATATCGATTCCAACTCAATAATCTGTTTATCCATGAGTCTTTCCCCTCTGATCACATCTGAGGGCAGCTGCCACACTCATCTTTCTTAAACATGTTTTCATCTGGACTCAGTCTCTGTGTGGAGGAAAACGTCCTATCTGCGGTGAGACTCAGCGGTCCTAGGTTCTGGGTCCCAACTCTGCCATTTGCCTTGTGACCTATGGACAAGTTATCGACTCTCTGGCCTGACAATTTGCACAGCTGTAACATGAGGAGTGTTGGACTGGATGATCCCCAGGGTCCTTAAAATCCTGTGATCCTCTATCAGATACAGACACCTCCTACCAGTTTTCCTAGGTTTTTTGCCCTTTGGACTTGTCCCATTTGTCCCAATTTTCTCCCTCACTCCTCCCAAGCTTGAATCTTTTGCCTAGTTTACACTGGTCTCATTTTCACCTATAACATGCTACATTTGTTGCCTATTCTGTGTTTGTCTTAGTCATATTCGTTCATTTAAAAAAAATTATTAGCTCCAAGTTTGTGCCAGGTTTGTGCTGGGCCCTGGGGAGACAAGCCATAGAAAACAAAACAAAACGTAAAAAATAATCCTTGCCCTCAAGGCACCTCCATTCTATTGGAGGGAAACAAATTAATTGAAGAAAGTGACTATAAGATTTATACAAAATAATTTCCAGTGAGGGGAGAGGGAGGGGGACTGCCTGCAGGAGGTGTCCCTTGTGTTTTGAAGGAAATGAGGAATTCTGTGAAGAAGAGGTGAGGATCAAGAGAGGGCATTCCTGGCATGGGAAACAGAGCAAAGGCATGGGACTGAGAAATGAAAGGAATGTCTAATTCTTGGAAAAGCCAACAGACCAAGTTGGCTGGAATTTCTTTTTTTTTTTGGTGAGGCAATTGGGGTTAAGTGACTTGCCCCAAGTCACACAGCTAGTGAGTGTTATGTGTCTGAGGCCAGATTTGAACTTGGGTCTTCTGACTCCAAAGCTGGTGTTCTATCCACTGAACCATCTAGCTGCCCCATTGGCTGGAGTTTCAAGTACAAAAGGTGATCTGTAGCTGCATCATAAAGGACGTTAAACCCTAAACAGAGGAGTTGCTATTTTATTTTAGAGACAGTAGGGAAGCCACTGGAGCTCGTGGAGAAGGGGTGACATGGATAGACCTGCACTTTAGGAATATCAACATGGCGGCCGTTTGGCCACATTGGAGAAGAAAAGGACTGGATGCGGAGACTCTGCCCTTTTCATTTCTCTTCATTATCCTTGAAGACTTCACTCAAGTTACTTCTCCATCAGACTTCCTTGACCCTATTTATTTGTGATACCCCCGAATTCCTATAGGGCTTTAAACATGAAGCAGGCAACCACACACTTATTTATGGGTTGTTTCTTGAATGTTTCAGGTGTCTCTTTTTTCCTCACAAACTGGATTTTAAACTGCTTTGGTCATCTAGATTCCATGTCTTCTTTGGCATCCTGAGTAGCACCTAGCATAATGACGAGCACATAGTAGGCCTGCCCCAAACATTTGATTTAAGCTAGCTTTTCCCAGAGGCCTCAGAATGGGAGGTCTAGTCTAGACCAGAGGCAGTTTCAGCCAGAATCTGGGTACAGCTGCATTTCTAGTGAAGTCCCCATTCATCTCTTCATAATGAACTTCTATGGAGGCAGGTCAGATTGACCCAGATTTGCCATCATCGTAGCCTACTTTGGCTCCAGCATGTCTGCAGCAGAGCTGGGTCTGGATGACACACTGAAAGTGGATGGCCATCTGGATAAGTACCATAAGCCAAACTGGCAACATCAAATGTATGGCAGCAAGTGTCCTTCCTAGAATTTACTATACTTATAGAGCTTAGGGATAACTACTCTTACTCTACTCTCAGCAAGAAGCTTGTGGAACATGACACACCCAACTCAAGTCTTCTTCTTACAGCTGCTCTGGGCTTGGATGGTTGGGACCTCTCTAGATTGAGGAAAGAATGAGGTTGTTGACTTTGCACAACTCTGCCTCACTTAAACTCAATTCACTTGCAAGTCAAGACATCACCTTCCTGATGTCATTGGTCCTCTTTGAGAATGAAGGACAAACAACGATCTGAGTAGGAGTCGCTGCTCCATTGGGGACTCAACTGGCCAGTTCCACTTGGGCAATCTTCCTTCCCTCCTTCCCTCCTTCCCTCCTTCTCTTCTTCCCTTCTTCCCTTTCTCCCTTATAACTTCCTCTCTCTCTGTCAACACAGGGAATCATACCCTTATCTACAGGTGCTCTGTCCAAAGGAACATAAATTTTGATTGCTGAAACCTCTCAAGATATCTTGGGGTTTATGGGCTAGATTTTTTTTCTCTTCCCTACTTACTTATTCTGTCATTAAAAAAAAAAAAACTGGGACAATTTAACTCTCTTGCTTCATGTGGTTTCATTTATGATTTCTTGAAATATAGCCCTGGAAAACCAAGCCTTTATAAAGCACATTGGCATTCAAATGGAGCTACTAGATCCTGCCACAAATCCAAATCACTTTGGCTCTCACTGACTGGCAAACAATAGGTGCCAGCCTAAGCCTTACTTGGTCATTGTTTAGATTTTGATGGCTGAGAGTCAGTGTAAATAACAATTGTTTCTGTTCTGGCTGGAAACCCTGAAGGTCTTCCCCTCCCAGTTTGATTTTTTTTTTTTTAAGTAGGCAAACTAGGCCATCTTTTGCCTCATTTCTTACTTAGCCTTAAATCACTGAATGGGTGTTGCCTTAGACAAACTGAGACCTGGGAAAGACCTTAGCTTAAAAAGGCCAAGGTATCCCGCTAAATCTGGAGTCATCTCCAGTTGTCCTGATCTGTATCTTGCTACTGGACCCGGATGACCCTGGAGGAGAGAGTGAGGCTGACTTTCCAGTGCCCTGCCTCACTTAAATCCAGTTCACTTGCAAGTCAAGACATCACCCTCCTGATGTCATTGGTTCTCTTCCAGAAGGAAGGACAAACAACAAGATCTGGAGACCACCAGCCCACTATGAGGGGTCCGGTATCACAGGAATTCAAGTCTCGCCTCAGACACTTAATTGGGTGACTCTGGGCAAGTCACTGAACTTCTGTCTGATTCACTTTCCTCATGGGTAAAATTAGCATAATAATAGCACCCATCTCCCAGGGTTGGGGTAGGCAAAGTGGACAGAATGCTGGGCCTGGAGTCAGGAAAACTCATTTTCCTGAGTTGAAATCCAGCCTGAGACACATACTAGCTTTGTGACCCTGGACAAGTCACTTAACTCTGTTTCCCTCAGTTTCCTCATCTGTAAAATGAGCTGGAAAAGGAAATGGCAAACCACTTTGCCAAGAAATCCCCCCAAATGGGATCACAAAGAGTGAGACATGACTGATATGACTAAACAACAATGACAAACCTCCCAGGGTTGTTAAGATAAAATGAGACGTTTCCAAAATGCTTTGTGAGTCTTAAAGCACTATGTCAGTGCTAGTTATTATTATTAGTTATGTTATTTATAGAATGCTTCATAGAATGGCAGTTAGTAGGACATAGGGACTTTCATACACTGGTCTTCCATAAGCTGGTCTGAATCCAAAGAACTGCCATCATTTTTGGAAAGCCTAAAGAATAGCCTTGGAAGCAATAACAGAAAAGCTTTTGGCCTACTTCAGCTGGCCTGCTTTGTGTTCTTATGGAATCACTGTGTTTTGGAGTTGGAAGGCATCTCGGGGTTTGTCTAGACCAGAGGTGAGGCACTTGTGGCCTCGAGGCCACAGGTGGCCCTCTAGGTCCTCGGGTGTGGGCCTTTGACTGAATCCAAACTTCATAGAGCAAATCCTTTTAAAGGATTGAGGTTTGGAGTCAGTCAAAGGGCCGCATTTGAGGACCTAGAGGGCCACATGTGGCCTGGAGACCACAGCTTCCCCATCCTTGATCTAGACCTAATTCCACCTGGGGAAATTAATTTTCTCCTGAGAAAATTTGAACCTCAGGTTAGATGCATGGGGAATGGGTTCCTCTGCATTACATTGTTTTTGAAGTTAGTACTTGTGAGTTTCTTGATGGGAAGAACTCTTCGGTGTAGAGACTGCCCCTACCAATGCAAAGCCACAGCTTGGCTGTAATGTGCTACCTTGGAGAGTTCCTGGGGAGGCACTTCTGTATGGGTATACTTTACTATGTGTCAGAGACAGTACTGGAACTCGGGTCTCTCCTGATGCCAGAGCCACCCTCTCCACCTACTACACTATGCTGCTTGTCATATAGTAGGCATTTAATAAATGTCTGATCACAATCCATTATATCGTGAGCTCTCTGAGGGCGAGGATTGTCTTTTACCTCCTTTTGTATTAGTAGTGCTTAGCACAGGGCCTGGTACGCAGTAGGTGCTTAATAAGTGTTTATTCTTTGATTGATCTCAATTGAATCCATGTTCTTGACTCTACTCATGTTGAGTACAAGGAAAGTAGTTGGTCCTGTAGAATCATTATGCAGTACTTTTTATGCCTTTATGTGATAAAGTCTTTTTTCCCTTCATTTTCATCGTCCATTTTTAGACCACACAATCATAGAGGGCATTGATTAGGTTGGTTTGTTTTTAACCTTTCCTAACAATACACTGTGTGCACCTAGAACAGGGACAACTGGGTGGCACGGTGTATGGAGCCTGGTATCAGGAAGACCTGAGTTCTGACTGGCCCTGGTTAAGTCACTTAACCCTGTTTGCCTCAGTTTCCTCATCTGTAAAGTGAACTGGAGAAGGAAGTGACAAACCACTCCAAAGGCTTTGCCAAGAAAACTCCAGATGGGGTTATGAAGAGTCAAATACCCCTGAAACAACTGGATAAAAAACAACAACAACAACAACAACAACAACCTAGAACTTGGGTTTTTTCGTTTGTAGTAAAATCAAACCAGCCCTGGCTCTTTAGTGGGAGGACCTGGGTTGAAATCCCACTTCTAGTGCTTACTGCCATGTGACTTTTGGCCTCAGTTCCTCTTCTGTAAAATGGGGGGGTGAGACTGAATGATCTCTGAAGCCCCTTCTAGGTATAGGTGATTGAACCTGTGATCCATGTTTTTTTCCTCTCGGTCTGAATTCTTAAGGAGAAGTCATGGCTTCCAGAGGCTAATTTAACTGCAAATTGGTGACTCACCCTTCCCCTCTGTAAAAAGGGAACCTCCTTCATAATTCCCTCTCATGGAAGATGCTCTGGATCCCCAAACCAGACCATTAACAGGGCAAAATAAAAGGCCCCATTTCCCTTCTTTGGAACATTTTTTGCAGCCCCTTCTCTACCCCAGAGAAAAAACACCAGATCTGCATTTTTTCATATGGTTTGGGTACAGATACTGGGTGGCCATGGGAAAATCACTTAACCTCTCTGATCTTCATGGTCCTCATCCCTAATATGAAGAATTTGGACCAAATGATTGCCAGCGTCCCTTCCAGCTCTAATGTTCAATGATTCCAGGAAAGAATTTTAGCTTTGCAAAAAGCAATATCCCATAAAGCTGAGGGTTCATGTCAGCAACCTACTGAGGAACATTTAGGAGTGGCTGTCTCATGAGTACAGACTTATTGTTAATATGGCCATGCCCAGCTAAGAGAGGCTTTATAAGCCAGTGAACCTCATGAATGTTAAAAAAAAAAATCTGTGACCAATTTTTCTAATCTTGGTATTGTTTCTTGATCTCCTTTGCCATGAAAATCTGGTATGTGTATAAGGAACAGATGGAAAGCTAATGGAATAATGATAACCAGAATTTCTTTTAACGTAATGCCAAGTATATAGCTATGAAAGAATGTTCAACTAGGTTTGGTTTTTAAATATAATTTAAATATAATTCTCTTAAGTGTTTGAATGTTAGAGTTCTCCAGGAATATAAATTATAGAGCTATAAAAAGAAAGCTAATTGGACCAGCAGAACTGTTAGAAAATGTTCTGGCACCCAAAGGCCCGTTCTCTTTGCTTAGCAGGTCATTGAGATTCTCAGGGTTATTGATGACTCAGATATAATACCTTTAATCACACTAGTCTTTGACTTACAGGCTGAAAGTTCCTCCCAGCCCTCCCCCTCCCTCCTTTGTCTGACAAGTACCAAAATTAGGTTTTGTAGTATTCAGATGTTCAGGCTTGTAGACTGTATTTCAGTAAGGCATTGGCTGGGATGTTTGAGAAATAACATGAGGAAAAAGGCATTTTCTAAATCAAGAAAATGTTCCCTCAAATCACTGTAAATGTATATGACAGATTATAAAGATACAGGACTGAGTAATCAGAGACATTCAGGCATTTTAGATTTTAATTCAACTGAATGTTAAACAACAAAAAACACCTCCCCCAACCCCCCCAAAAAAGAGCCCCCTGCCCAAATGACACAAAAATTCCCAAAACACGTCAGGAAAGAACTTTTGTGAGAGAATAACTTTTTGTAAGAGTGCAAAACTGGTCATAAGTGAGACTGGTAGCTGCCCAATATGCTTTCTCTATTCATAATAATGATAATGCTGATACTGTTTCATTTGTGTCTGACTCTTCATAAGCCCATTTGGGGTTTTCTTGGCAAAGATACTGGAGTGGTTTGCCATTTCCTTCTCTGGCTCATTTTATAGATGAGGAAACTGAGGCAAAGGAGTTAAGAGACTTGCCCAGGGTCACACAGCTAGTATGCGTCTGAGGCCGAATTTGAACTCAGATATTCCTGACTCTAGGCCTGGCACTCTATCCACTGCACCACCTAGCTGCACCTAAATGACAATAGCTAACATTAATGTGGAGCTTTAAAGTTTACAAAGCAATCTGCATAAATTGTCTCAATTTGATCCTCACATTAGCTGTTTATACAGATTTGGAAACTGAGGTTGAGAGAGTTTCAATGACTTCCCCATGACCACACAGATAAGGAAGTGCCCTGACTCCAAGTAAAAGACCCTTTCTGCCCCACCACAATGGTGAGGGGACTATTAGGGAAGGAGGCTTCATCTCTTCCCATCCAAGGAATGATTAGACTTCTTTCAGTAAATTCAGATTCCTGTTAGTAAGCATTTTGCTCATTTTTTTTTTAGGGCTAACTTAGTTATTGCTCTTCTGTTCTGAGTTCAATGTTAATTGTGTTTCCCAGGAAAGGGTCTGTAATTTTAGAGTGAAATGTGAAAAGTTGATACTTGATTTGTTGAGAAAAGATTCATCATTTCATTCAACAACCATTTGTTAAACGTCCATGGTGTGTAAGTCCCTGGGCTAGGCACCACTATGAATGCCAATAGGACATGGGTTCTCTAGTAAGTGCAATAAGACATATACACATAGGTAGCAGACATTTACAGGTAAAGGTAAATCTCTCCATGCGGCAGGGGTTCACAGTGGGCCATTGATTATCCCATTGACTTCCCTTTGGTTGTAGCGCATGTTTTTCATTGGTGTCTCTCATTACAGTAGGAGAAACACGTGCTTCCCTGGTGGTTCCTATGCCTGAAGGTCAATTTGTGGAGAATTGCAATTTTTAAAAATTATGTCCAGATCCTTCTATTTCCAGAGGCTATTGTGATGACTTAGAAAATGGAGTTCGCTTTATCCCCTCCTTTCTTAAACAGTAATAGATGTAAGACTTTACATTTGAGGAAGAAAAAGAAATTAAGTTGTTTAAGATGGAGCAATGCCTTGGCCTCCCCTACTTTGGATGAGTGGAAACAGTTTGGCTAAATCAGGTTCACAGTATCACAGAGGTAGTGCTGGAAAAGCCCTCAGAGACCATCTATTCCATATTTTAATTAAGCTGCTAGAATATTGCCTAAAAGGGTGTTGGGTTTTGTTGTTGTTGTTTGTTTGTTTGTTTTTGCTAGGCAGTGGAGTTAAGTAACTTGCCCCAAGGTCACACAGCTAGTAAGTGTTATGTGTCTGAGGCTGGATTTGAACTCGGGTCCTCCTGATTCCAGGGCTCTATCCACTATGCCACCAAACTGCCCCCCAAAAGGGTGTTTTTTAAGGAAGACAGTGTGTGACATAGTGGATAGAGTGATGAACTTGGAGTGAGGCAGAGCTGGCATATACCAGCTTAGCTCTGTGACAGGTCACTTGCCTTCTCAGTCTTCTCATCTGTAAAATGGGGACAGTTTTGACTTTTGATGGAAGATAACAAAAGTACCTACTCCACATGGTTGTGGTGAAGAGAAAATAATACTTTAGGCAAAGTGCTTTGCAAATTATAAAGCTCAATATAAATGTTAACTGCTATTTATCATTATTCATTTGCATTAGGATGACTTAAGCAGGGCTAACTTGCCAGCGCTCTTGACACAATGCACGTATAAAAATGGACACTTTCTTAAGGTTAAATGTATTAGGCAGTTATTTAATAGAATAGCAACAATTGTCCTTTCGTCCACTCCAACCAGACTGTTGCTTACTGTTCCTATGTATGATATCGTGTCTCCCCACACTTTGCCCCTGTACAGACTATTCCGCATGCCTGGAATGCTCTTTCTGCTCATCTGTATTTCTTGGAACCCGTTATGTGGTAGAATAACTAGGAGTTCTTTTGAAAAAGTTTTCTTAAAGACATTTTAGAACTGGTTTTTGTCCAATAGGTAAATTCATTATTGGGACCAATGGGTATTTTAAAGTGGAATTAAACAGCCGAGTTGTCTCTTCTCTGCTTTGTCCTCCTTTGTGAAAACATAGAATGCGGGCAGCTAGATGGGTAGAGCACTGGTCCTAGATTCAGGTAGACCTGAGTTCAAATCTGGCCTCAGACACTTGACACTTACTAGCTGTGCGACCCTGGGCAAGTCACTTCACCCCATTGCCTTGCCAAAATAAATATATATATATATATATATGTATATACACACACACATATATATAATCAATTATACTTTTAAGGACATTGACAGTTATAAATATTTTTCTATTCCATGCTTCTCCACCATCTTGTTCATCACAGAGAGCCTGTGAGTCAGGTAACGGATCTGTTTCTTCTTCCATAGAATTGGGGGGTCGGTCACAAAGGCTCACTAAGTATCATTTAGTCCATTCTCCTGCCTCTGAGATGCAGCCCTGCATTAATATTCTTCCAAAGTTTTCGTAGTTTTGTTTTCGCTAAATCATCCCAGTGTTTTATACCAATATATTTCTCTACCATCCTTCCAAATCCAATTTAAATCAATTTCTTCCCATTCAGCCTTTGATAAATAAGAAGAAAAACATGGCAGATGCATATATAATCAGCAAAGGTTTCTGATATTTTGTTCTTTCCATGCTTGAAACTATAGTGAAACTGGGTCCCCCCTCTCTCACTCTTAAAAACTTCGTGATTGTGAGCAATTCAATCTTCTTTGAGCTCCAGTTTCTCTTTCTATAAAATGGGTATAACCATAAGCATAGTTCTTACTTCATAGGGTCATTGTGATCATCAGATGAGCTCTTTGTACTCTGCATTGGTATGTTTTTTGATTTGTTTATTTGGATTCCTAAAGGCTATAGCAGATATCAAGAGGACATATTCGACAGACAGCCTTACCAAGAAGTCCCAAGGAACTATGACATCTATACCGCAGGGCTTACCGAAGAGGAACAGCTGGAAAGAGCTCTCAGAAACAGCCTCCGTGACCGAGGTAAGAATCTCGTGGCCTTGCTCGTTTTCAAGTATGGATCACATGGTGAGGTAATGTCTGCACAAGGACTGTTTTGCAGAGAAGCAAACTTAAAATAGTTTGTAAAAAAGCATATGTAGGTGAAGAAATGTGTGCAAAATGTGATTACAAGGAATGTGGTGTGATGCCATATTGCCACCAACCTAATATAATAAGTGCTAGACTATGTATGGACGTATTGTTAACATTGTTCCTTTTATAGGCCCGCTCAACTCAATTACTTTGACAACAATAAAAAGTCAGGAAACTTCTAAAAAAAAAAAAACTCTTCTTAAAGGCATGCAGTGGGTTCAGAGTGAGGCACATTGCTGCAAAATAGGTTGTGTATCATTGTGCTGCCTCTCTTCTTGACTAGCCTTATTAGGACTTTGTTGCTGATTTCCTCCTTAATGCTTTTAACATCACAGGACTGCCTGGAATAGCCCTTGAGAACCCAAAGTTACTTTACAACTGCAATGAAGCATTGGAATAGGATGTTACTGAAGCCTTTTTAGATAAACAGTTAGGTGCCTTTGGTAGGGATGGTACATCCAGTGAACTGATGTGGCCCCCTAAGGAACTCTCTGATGACCTTGGTGTTTAAAAAAATGCATAGAAAATATGGACAGAGGGGCACATAACCACAGGTGAAAACAACTCCTGGAAGGCAGGGACTGTTTCCTTTTTATCCTGGCACGTACTAGGAACATAATTGCTTGTTGGTTGATTGATTGATTGATCTAATCTCAGACAGACTTACTTAGATGTTTAAAGATGGCTGTCACTTATATAAAGTTATCACTTCTCCTGGCTACATATTCTCATTTCTTTAATGGCTCTTCATAGGTTTTTGTTTTTTCCAAGTCCTCTTCCTGCCCTGGTTGTATTTCTCTAGTTTATCCTTAGCCATCCGTTTAGTTTCACCAAACAAAAACAAACAAAAAAACAGTAGTTTTATTTCCTTTTTTGATATCTACATTGATAGATGAGGTTATAATAATAGACGTGAAATGTGAGTGAGTCAGTCAATAAATATTTGAATGCCTCTTATATGTCAGGCATTCTGCCAAGTTCAAGGGATACAAAATGGGTAGGTAGGTAGATAGATATAATTATATGAGGTAGGTAGGTAGATAGATAGATATAATTATGTAAAAGGTAGATGGATAGATGATATAATTACATAAAAGGTAGGCAGATAGATGGATAGATAGATATATAAAAGGTAGATAGATGGATAGGTAAATTGATATCTATATAAAAGATAGCTATAGACAATTATATAAAAGGTAGGTAGATAGATAATTATATAAAAGATGATATAGATAATTATATAAGCAAAAGTTGACAGGGTTTCTTAGGCTATCTCTGAGGACAAGATAAAGAAATATGAGCCAAGTGGTTCTACTTGGGTGTATTTGTAGCAAGCCAACCTTCTCCCAACCCCTCCTGTTACTGTCAAGCACCACCATTTTTCCTGCAGCCCAAGTTTGTAACTTCTGTTGTGTCCTCAAGACCTCACTCTCTCATCGCACATATCCAGACAATCCCCATATCTTTTCATTTCTACCTTCACAACACAACATCTCTAACCTACATCTCCTGATCTCCACCTACACAGGCCTAATTCAGGCTGTCATCAATCACTTCTTGCCTGCACTATGACAATAGCTTTCTGATTGGCCTCCCTGACTCCAGTTTCTCCTTACTCTAATTCATCATCCTCACAGCTGCCAAACTCTTCTCAAGGGTTGGTCCTACTCTGTCACTCCACCCCCACTTCCAACAAATTCTCATGGCTCCAAATTGCATCCCGAATCAAATAGACATGCTGCCTCAGTCTACACAATCTTTGCTTTGCCCATGTTTACTGGTCTTCACATACCCGGCCCCATCTCCCATCTTCGTGCTTTTGCACTGGCTGTCTGTCCCCTCTGCCTGGAATGCTCTTCCTCCATACTTCAAAATCAGAAAATCCTAGCTTCCTTTAAGAATCAATTCAAGCATCATCTCCTCCAGGAGGCCTGTACTGGTTCCCCACCGCCAGCCCAGATGCTAATGCCATCCCTTCTAAGATTACTCTCTACTTTCTGGGTATTTGTATGTACACACACACACACACAACACACACACACACACACACACACACATAAATATATATATACACACACAGACATATACACACAAATACACACACACATTTAGCATAAAGCTGCTTGAAGGCAGTGACTTATTTTTTTTCTTGTATCAACAGAGCTCAGCCTAATGCCTAACCCATATTAAACACTTAACATGTGCTTATTGATTGATTAATTGATTGGTTGTTGACTGATCATACATTCCATGGAGAGAGAGCTCTGTAGTGGCATCTCATAGGATTTTCTTCTGGGTCCTGTGATAATTACCATATTTTTTCAATAATATAAGGAAGATATATTATTAAATTTGAAGATGAGATAAAGTTGAAAAAGAACTCTTATTTATCAGATCACAGTCCTTGATAAGAGTTTTTTTAATCTTGAGCAAAAAACTAATAAGGTGAACTTTTATTAGGGATGAATGCAAAGTCCTAAAATTTCTTTTTAAAAATGTACTGTAAAAAATAAAATAAAAATAAAAAACAGCTGTCAGAAGTATGTTTTGGAAAAGACCCAATTTAATAGCAGCTTGTTAAATAAGACAACATGGCATAGTAGGAAATGTACTGGACTTGGAGTCATGAGAGATCCAGTTTCAGTCTTGTCTCTAAAATTTACTTCTTGTGTGGCCCTGGACAAGACCCTTGACTTCTCTGAGCCTCAGTTATCTCATCTATAAAATGGGGATGATAAAGTTTGCAATACTTACTTCATAGGATTGTTGGGAAGATCCAGTAGTATATCATTTATGAATATGAAGTGCTTTATAAACCGTAAAGCACAATATACATGTCATTTAGGGAGTTTTAGTTGACTATAACCTCAACGTAAATCAACAGTGTGATATGACTGCCAGTCATAGGCTTCATCTGCATTCGTAGTCATAATGTCTCCAATAAGGGAGGTAGCAGACTATAATCAGGTCATATCTGATTGTATTATTTCTTTTCTGGATGCGGTATTTTAAGGAGAATGTTGACAGTGTAAATAGAGTGTGTCCAGAAGAAAGTGACAAGGAGGATGAGACAACTTGAAACCAAGTTCCATGGAAAGAGTTCATAAAATCATGGATAATGGAGGTCATCCGGACCAAACACCCTCATTTTACAGATGAAGAAACTAACCCAAATGTGGAAAGTGACTTGCCCAAAGTCAAATGGGTAGTCAGAGTGAGAACTAAGATTCAAACTCAAATCCTCTGACTCCACATCCGTTATTCTTGGCTTTGAAGAAGAAATGCTTAATCTGGAAAGTAGATGGACTTGGATTTAAGGCATATTTCTGACATATTAACTATGTACCCTTAGGCAAATCACTTTAGGTAACTCTCCAGAGACTACAAGTCATAGCGAGGTATTGATCTGCAAAGGTGGAAGGAGTTTTCACGCATGGAGTACTTTGGATTTCATAGTGAGTGCGGAAATCATAGGTCCAGTTCCCGTTTCTCCCTCCCTGCAAAGAAACACTGCCTCTCTCCCCAAAAAAATCTTTTAGGTTTTTCATTGTTGATGTTATTTCTAAAATTCTCTGTTATCACAAATGCTAATCTTGGAATTGATTTTTATAATCTTGCATATTGTTTTTATTAAATGCTGAATAGATTTGGTTTTGAATTATTATGTGAATAAAACTAGCAAATGAGATTTTGATTTGTTCCAGTGGACATGAATAATGTTAGTAGGTTAAGGAGCCAGACATTGCTGAGTAGACACATTTGTAGGGTCCAGCAAGTATCCTTTGACATTTGTGAGAGTGAATCCTGATCACTGGGACATGATTTTTGACAAAACATTTATCTACCCTGTTGGGTGGCACAGTTGGATAGAGCACCTAGCCTGGAGTCAGGAAGAACAAGTTCAGTTCCACCCTCATACCACTTACTAGCTCTATGATCCTGGGCAAATCACTTAACCACTGTGTGCCTCAGTTTCCTCATCTATAAAATGCAGATAATAATAGCACCTATTTCATAGGGTTGTTGAGGATCAAATGAGATAATATTTGTAAAGCATTCAACAGTGTCTAGTTCAGTAGGTGCTATATAAATGTTTATTCCCTCTTCTTCCTTTATTTTTCCCCTTTTATCAAAATACTTAATTAGGTCAAGAGATTAGTTTACCAGATAATAAAGTATAATACCTCAAATTTCCAGAGTAGATTTTCTTCTGAACTGCATTTTCATGAAAAAACAATCACGTTGGATGATGATGACATTGATATAACAGTTTATAATTCAAAATCTCATTTGATCCTTACCATAATCCTGACACAAGTTTCATTATCTTCATCCTATAAAAAAGGTAACTGAGTCTCAGAGAGGCTGAAGGACTTGTCCAAGGTCACACAGCATCACCAAGTGGAAGGTCCATAGTTCCTGCTGAGGTCTTTTGGCTTCAAGCTCAGTGTTCTTTGCACTAATTCTCTATGAAATAGTTAAAAGACTTGGAAAAAAACACCTGTAAAAGAGATAACATTTTTTCAGGTGCAGAAGATTGAGACTGAGAGAAAGGGAAGCGAAGAAGTGGGGGAAATGATTAATTTTTAAAAAACAATGTCCCATTTTCAATAAGCCTTAAATATATGCAGGTCTTTCATTTGCTTAGAGGAAATTTTGTTGTTTTGGTTTTATCAGTTGGCCTTTAATTTCACCATACCCACTGGTTTTGCCCCCACCCCAGCTTACTTTATTCTACTTACTATGCAGGCTATCCTATTTAGTATTCTCAGTATATTGAGTTATAACTTCCCTACCAGGGATGCACACACTCTTTGCTATTCTGTAGGATGGGCTGGGGTGGGGGAGAAAGGGTGGGGGGAGCGTGAGAAGAGAAGGTGGATGTGTATCAAATTCCCTTTTGTGTTTGTACATTATGCCTTTTTCCTAGATTATAAAAACCTGTCAGTTAAAGACTTCCTTAAGATACGACAGGTAATAAAATAAAGTAGCATCTACTGATCAATTAAGTTAAAAGCATTTATAAAGATCTTCCACGTTCAAGGCATTGTGCTAGGTGCTGTTTGCTTCTAATGAGTCGCCACTAATTGGCTTCAAGTGCTGAGTGGGGGCCACAGAGAGAGGCCTCTGTAGACATGCATTCTATACTGCATGTGCAGTCCTAGCCCACGTGGGCAGCTTGACTTATCTTTTGGTGCCGCCAAAAGGAAACTATTGGAAGTGGAGCCACGGAGCGCCACTAGAACCCAAGCATTAACGTCACTTACCTAAGTACTGACCTCAATGCCTGCCCCTCCCATTGACCAAGACAGCCCAGGAAGCAAGGTTTTGCTAACCATTTGTTGAGAAGAGCCTTTAAACATGGAGACGCTGATTTCCTTACTATCCTGGCTTCCAATAGGAAAGCATATACTATTGATCCAGAGATGCCACTACTAAGCCTGTACCGCCCACCCCCCACCCCCCCAAAGATTAAGGAACAAGGAAAATTACATATCTGTACAAAAATATTTTAAATACTCTTTTTGTAGTAGCCAAGAATGCAAAGCTGAGGGGGTGTTCACCAGTTGGGGAATGGTTGAACAAGAATACAAAAATATTCTAGTATAGGAACATAATGGGATTTTTTTTGTGCTACAAGAAATAATAAAAAGGGACAATTGCATTGAAACTTTGGAAGAATTGTAAGTGATATAACTGATACAGAGTGAACTGAGCAGACCAACAGAACAATCCATACAATAAGAATAGCCTTCTAAAAGCAAACAACTTTGAAAGACTTAATTATCCGCTCAGTAACCCAACCACAATTCCAGGGGACCACTAATGAAGGATGCTTATCTGCTTGAGAGGTGATAGACTCTGGCCATAGAATGAGAACACATATTTTTTGGAAATTACCATCAGGGAAATTTGTTTTGCTTGACTATGAATATTGTTGCAAAGGTTTTGTTTTTCTTTTCCCAGTGCAGAGGAGGGCTAGTAGTGGGAGACAAGGTAGGTTTTTGTAAATTGAAAAAAAAAATGTAATTTAAACATTACCAAATAAAAAGTCTTTACTAGTGGAAAAGAGTTTGACTAGGAAAGAAAGCTCTCTTAGTGGGAGTACAAGTAGATAGGGTATGCTAGACTGATGATAGAATGTGTGCCCCAGATCGTCAATAAGTATTTATTAAGCACAAAGTGTGCCAGGCACTGGGCTGAACTCTATTTTACTTTTATCATTGTTCTGTACTTCCTACCACAGTGCCTGATACATAGCAGATACTTTTGTTGCTGTTGTTCACCCTTTGTTCTCAAAGAGAACCAATGATATCATGGGGTGATGTCTTGACTTGCGTGTGACTTGGATTTAAGTGAGGCAGAGCTGCACAGAGTCATTTAATGGCCAATAATAACCACGTGTTTGTTGAACGATTGACATGAGGCAAGTGAAAAGAAGAGTAGTTTACTTTAACTGGTGACAAATTTGGTGCCTCTTATCCCCAGGTATCTTCCTCCACTATATATACACTCGTGACTTCTTTTATAGCTACATATATATGTGTGTGTGTATGTATGTATGTATATATGTGTGTATGTGTAGGTATGTGTGTGTGTATGTATGTATATATGTGTATGTATATATATGTATGAATGTATAGTGATATTATGTAGGGATAATATATCACATTAGGGCTAGGATGCTAGGGATATTAGACAACAACAAAGTAGTCTCTGGGCTCAAGTGTACTGCTTCTCTTGGAAGAAGCAACATGTACACTGATATTTAAATGCAAAATTCTAATTGCTAGCATTTACATAGTGCTTTCAGGTTTGTGTGGCACTTTTTATTATGTCATTGATTTTAAAAGGTCTCATTTCTGAAATAAATGCAGATGAAATCCTTGGGTTGAGTTGAGATGATACTAGCAACTGCAGAGATGACAAAAGGTTTTCTCAAGTGGAGATGAGGAAATAGTGCATTTCAGGCAGGGGCGACAGACAGCCTGGGGAAATGAATAGAGATAGGAGATAGGGTGCCTTGGACAGGCAACAAGTAGACTAATTTGGCTAGAACATAGAGCGCGTGAAGGCAAGTAATATGCGATAAGCCTGGAAAAGTAGGCTGGAGTCAGATTGGGGGTGGGGGAAGGACTTAAATGATGAGCAAAGGAGTTTGTATTTAATCACTGAAATAATTTATTCTCTGGCTTTCTGAGCTGTGGTGTGATGTGGTCAGTCCTGTGTTAGTGTTTGATTTCCTTTGGTTTGTTCTGGACTTGTGATTTCATCGGAAGAGGGAAATTCCCTTTACCAATGTAGACTGGCATTTTTCCTGCAAGTTATCGTCTTAGAGAGAGTTGCCTGGGACCCTGAGAGATTGGCCCAGGGTGGCACAGCCAGAATATGTCAGAAGAGGATCTTAAACCCATGTCTTCCTGACTTGGAAACCAGCTCTCTGTCCACTATGCCAGGCTGCCTCATAGGTTAGGAAGATCAATCACTTACCTTCTCTGAAACCAAGATTTTTCATCTCTGAAATAGAGATAATGGGAATATTCATCTCCTATAATTCTAGTGAGAATCAATATCATATACTATGTGAAATGGACTTTGTAAACCTGAAAGTGCCTAAAAGATGTCAGCCATTCTCCTCCTCCTCCTCATTATTATTGTTATTAAGACAGTTCTTTTTTGTGAGAAACACTGATATCCCTAGATTTCAAGTGGGTTAAGCATTTAATACTCTTTTAAAACAATCTGGTCTCCTCCTGTTAGCAATCTCAGCTTTTATAAACATGTGTCCAAAAAGGCAGCTGATGCCCCCATAACCAAGAGAATGATCCTGGATAAGTGCCATCTTTTTTTTTTTTTTTTTTTTTTTTTGAGTCCAAAGGCAGACGTCAGCTTATAACACAAGCTCCTGGTTTTTGCTTGTCCTTTGTGATGAATAATGCATGCCTTTTGTGGGTTCAAGGGTAGCCTGCCACCCAGGTCCAGCTGGAAACAAGGCCAATTTCTACCCCTGCCTGCCAGCCCAACATGCATGATATATTTAATGCCGGAAATCCTTTTTGACACATGGAGTAACTAGTGATTCTCGTCAACCCTTTTCAGAATGCTCAGTGGGCACAGAATCATATTTACATAGACCGCTCTTGAAATCCAGCATTTGTCCACCCCCCCAATTCATTTTAGACTCTGATAGAAGAAAAGGCCTAGTTTGTCAAAACACAATTCTTTCTCCCTCTTCTTTCTCCTCCTTCCTCCATCTCTCTCTCCCCATCTCTCACCTCCTGTCCCCTTCCCTTTCTCCTTCTCCTTCCCCCGGTAACAACTGCCAAAGCGCTCTTAGAAATTGAACCTAATTTTTGATACTATTATTTTCTAGTAAATTTTCAGATGAAATATTTGAATTTTTTACAGACATTTCCATTAACATATTTTCCCAAGAATTATAAAATAGAAATATTCAATTTTAAGTCACATTGAAAATAAATTTAATATGACCTATTATCTTGTATTTACTTTGTAATAGGTATTGACATCTGTAGTTGAATTAAGAATATTCTACATACTTTGGATCAGAGGGCTGTGTTTATGTTGCTTAAGACTACTGTGATATTGTGGAAGGATCTGCAACCCAAGAGTTAGGAAAGCTTTATGCTAGCTGATCATGGCTTAGTTGACTGGTTAACTTAACTAACTGTGTGCTCATGGTCAGGAAAGTTAGTCCCTCTGGGCCTCTCATGTCTTTATCTTCAAAATGAGGAGTTGGTCTAAATGGTCCTTGATCTCCCTTCTTAGGGCAAGATTCTATAAGTATAACCCATAGAGTGGGTAGAAAGTAGGTGGATGTAACTAGGAGGCTATGGGGGGGTATTGGGGCTTGTTGGCATGACTCTTAGGAATCTTGGAGGTAGGTCCTCATTTCCTCTTGGCAACCTTTCAGGTTGGTTTGGATGTTTGCAGCACAGAGGTCATTTTCTGCAAGGCCAGCACACATCACATCACTTATGTAACCCAGCATCTCAATAGTTTGCATGTTGCCAGTAGACTGAAATCTTATTCAATTATAAGCTTGTGTTGAGCTTAGCTGGCTCACGTTAAGCATGCTACCATCAGGAGTCTCTGTCAAAAGCAGATGTCCTTGTCTGACCTGACTTGGTTAGTAGAAGCGTGTGTAGTCCAAGACCAAAACGTTCAGCTACTTCTGTGGGACTGCTTAGTTTTTTTCTTCAGTCATTTAATGGTGCGTTGTTTGCTGCAGGAATACTTTCTACGCAATAGAAAAAGCACCACCTGCCAGACAGATTAGCCAAAGGCAGTATCAAAAGCAGACCAACTTATACATCCTGATGACTATTTCTTGAATTATTACTCTAGTTAATGAACAACTGACATGCCACAAAATACCTTCTCCTCTGTTTCTGCTTGGAAACACATGTGACTTCTGACTTGCTAAACAGATTTTTATAAGTACACGTATACATGGATTTCATGTTGCATTGTGTTCAT